TTTTTGGTCATGTTTGTAAACTCTATGTTCAAAAAGCTGTATATTTTTGGCACAACTTTGAACGGTATTGACATAGGTTTTCATAAATTATACTCATTATCCTGCTTTTATGACACAATTGTAAGTTTGTGAAAATATATAGCTTTTTTTTATATAAACATTCGTCACATGTTGTTCAAACTGCCTTTTTTTTAAAAGTTTTCCCGCCATAAACATCGACAGCCTAATGGTTTTTATTGTTCTTGTTCGTGCTTTTGTACATCAGTTATGCAATCAATAAACACACCTTTTCACACTATCTATGGTACTTTTGGATTTATTTAAATTCAAAACAGTGTATCCGTAATACTCTTGAAGCTCTGGTGTGTGTATTGAAATGAATGGGTCAGTTAAACCAGACAAGTCAATTTGATCAAAATTACAGGTAAACCAATGATATAGCAGCTCTGGATAAAGGGTGTCAAGGTCACGTCCTAAAATTATCCTGCAAATGAAAGAGGACAAAAAGAAAATTACTTTATTATAAAGGTTTAGATTAGATGTTGATAATTCCTAAAATTAAAAGAAAAATGTCTGTATTGAAAGTTTATTTTGATTCAAATTTTGCATGTCTTTTAGTTGACTCATCTTTTTATAAAATAACTTTTACAGAATCTGTAACTTATCAAACAAAGACAATATAACGAACATAAAATTCAAAAAAGGCATAAATCTATAATAAAGTAACGAATTGACACTTAAAGTACTTGGTATTTATTGGAATTGTACCTATACGTTCCTTTAAGGAATTGCGTTGTATTTCCCAAACTTTGCTAAATGCCATGTAATGGTTCAAACATCTAGAAGTCTCCTTCTGTGTGACGAACAATGTCAGCTAACAGAGTTGTTCCCCCTCTCATATAACCGAAGATTAGTCGTAAAGATGTTTTCTCCGAGACTTTATAAAACTCTAATAATGATAACAACATCCAAGCATTCCTTTATTCGGTAATTCTCGTTTTGCGACCGTGAGTTTTGAAAAGGCCAGAAAAAGCTGAAAATACAAACCTGATGAATGTAAACCGATAAGGATTTATTCGAAAAACATTGTACGCTGTCCATCTGCATATTTTCAAAGAAAGAGAATAATCCCTTTTCTAAAAGTAAGGTAAAATTACAAATGTATAAGGGCAAAAAATAATGATATGCTAGATTATTTAATGTGATTTAAAAAGATATATTTTATGAAGTACACGCCCTTAGATGTGAATGATATGGTGCTACTCAAAACATGATCATGTATAGAATCTTTTGATTGAATTTTTTTTTTCATTTAGATTTTTCTCCTTTTGACATTTTTCTAGCATGAATTGGAACGCCTTAAGTGTTTATTATTGTCAGTATTGACCTTGGACTATGTTTTTCTAGTATCTTTATAATATTCATCGAGAATTCCCGTGCTCATTACTGTAAAGAATTTTAATTGTTTGATAACGATGTGTTTAACTTTTCGATTTTAAAAAGAACCTGACTAAATACATCATTTATAAAATGGAAACAAGATACGTCCTTTTTTATTCGTACTAATTTTTAACTCAACTGTGTTATTGTTTACTTCTGTTACAATAAGCAGCATGTTCTTAATTTAAACTATTTAATTATAAAAATTGCAATTTTATAAAATTCAAAAAAGAAAATGAGCATAAATTCATAAAAAAAATTGCTTTTGAAAAAAAAAAGTATCAATACAGTTTTATTATATGCGCTGTTCCCTCCCATTAAAGCTTAATGCCTATATCAGACGAGCTTAAAAGATAAAATGTTATTTATTGATTTACAGAGAGGGGAGGATACCTCTCTCCTAGATTTAAAAACAACAAAGGGAAAAGGTTAAATAAACAAGTCCAAAATAGGCATAGAAAAGGCAATAAGTGTCATAACTGTGTACTGTCAAGACAATGAGCCGCTCTACAACTATACATCTATTTGCAACGCATAACATTTTTCTGATCATTTTTCTGTATTTTAAGTCAAAGTATTAAATATCAAAACAGGACCCTAAAGCTTTTTAATAAATTTGACGATTAATACCTCACATTAATGATCTGTTATATGAATGTTTCCTATGTGTATCCCATCAATGATCTTTGATAAAATCTTATGTTCCCTTCTGGGTGGTTTCAAAGACATTTTTAATTTTTGATCGACTGCCACCCCCCCCCCCCTCCCCGCCCTTCAACCTTAAAAAATACATTTGTGTGCCCCATTCGTTTGAAATTCTAGACAAACACTTGTCTTCCAAAATTTTGACGTGGGGTACAATGTCATAATGTTGATTGTTTGGTTGAGTGTGTATTGCTTTAATCCCTCTCGAGAATTTTCCACTCATATGGAGACGCCACCACTTGCCGGTGGAGAGCTGCAAATTTTGTCCTATACTCGGCACTCATGCCATTGAGCAGGGAGGAATCTTTTTCGTGCCAGCACCTACTATGACACGGGACTTTGGTTTATACGGTCTCACCGAAGGACCGGTCCCCACATCCAACGGTGGGATTCGAACCCGTATTGTAAGGATCAACTCCTTACTTCGCGACAGACGCTCTAACAACTGCGCTACGCGGGCGACTCACAATTCTGATTTTGATAGTTCAAGATTTCCTTCTTTTGCCTTATGATTCACAGAGATACGACTTTAGATATGTACTTTAGAAGACTGGTTTTAGGAAAAATTGCCTAATTTTGCAGTTTTTAGTTGCAAAAAATGAAAATATGTCACGATTTAGTCTTTTAAAGACAAATATAATTAAGGCTCCGAAAACATGAGGGAAAAATGATAAAGTAAACGATAATAAATAAATCTTTTTTACATTTGGTAATGAGAAATAGATCCAAAAATACGAAAATCAATGCCATACATCCAGGAAAACGATGCATTTTTGAGAAAACCTTCTTCTAGAACACCAGGATCAAACTCCTTTTTATTTGTTAATGTATGGAATACTTTCCTCATTCACTACCAGGGTTTTGAGCTGATAAATTGAAAGTCCTTTTTTGCATGTCTCAAACATTGTAACAAATATCCCAATTCATAATCTCGATTGATTAAATTTTTGCTTTAATTTGAAAGCAAAATAAATCTAGCTCGCACAGGAATCTTTTGCACGACAAATGTGGTGACCTTCAATTTGGCTCCAGCTACTATATTTCCTTTACTAACCCACATTAAGCATTTCCTCTTCGTTATACAAATGCAAAGATCTCCTCATTTTGAAAAGCTGGGCTAAAAGGACAAAGACAAACCAAATACGTGTTTGATTTGTAACAAACGGTATTGTTTTGAAACGTCGAAGTGCAAATTTGTGTTTTAAATATCATTTTTAGAAATCCAAATATGGTTTTTTTAATATCAATAAAAGTTTTTATCTAAGATTCATTTATCTTCTATCTATTATAGGTTTTTATTTATTTATTGATTGATTGATTAATGTTGCTTAATAACTTGCTTTTAATTGTTAAAAGTTGTACAGTCTTATTGATTGAATACTTATAGAACATTTACAGATGTATATTTTACATATTTATATCTTTACGAATTTACGTATTGAAATACGTTTGAAATTACTGGAATGGCTTGACAAAACACAAAATGTCTGTAAAATAGCATGGCAAAATACAGAATGTAAATAATAGGATGAAATGACCAATAGCAGTGTGACACTAATATAAAATGACATGACCAAAAGAAACTGTTTCTGAGATGATATAACACAACAGAGTATTTCACATAAATGAGTCAACAAAAGAGTATGTCACTTATAAGGCATGCACAACAAATCTCATATAGATATCTCAAAAAAGACATGGCAAAACGGCGTATATCAAATAGATGTCATGACACAACACAACATGCCTATTGGACGACATGACAAACAAAAGAGTGTTTCACTATAATGACAGGATATCAACATGTCATGAAAAAGACATGCAAAACATAGTTTTTACAGAAATAAAACATAAAGATGACAAGATGTCACTAAAACGACATAATAAAACATTCTTTGTTACCTACATCATAAATAATAATATTACAAAACACAAAATATCACCGATATGACATGACAAATGCTGACTGACGTTTTTCATACTTATTGTTAGTTCATTATTTTTTACATTGAGGTGTCGAGGGATTTTCCAAATCATCAAAAGGAGCACACGGTGGTCGTAACCGATCGGCAGGGGATGTTCACACCTCTATGGCACCTGATCCAACCTCTGATGATTTGGAGGTCCATGTTTGCTCTGCTCCTATTTTGTTTTGTTTAATGGACTTTTGAGCTTAAATACTGTTCGTTATTTCCATTTGTTTCATGACAAACACAGAATATCGTTTAGAGGACATGATAATTAACAGTGTGATACCAAAATAAAATAACATGACAAAACTCATGGTCTCTTAAGATTTAATCAAACAATACGGCATGTCACCAGATTGACATGCCAAAAACCATTGTCACAAAAAACAACATCGCAGCATATCACGGCAAAAGATTGCATCAAACAAAGATGACATGGCAAGTTGATGATAGAAAAGTTAGTCATCACGTTTATACTACAGCTTGTTAGATTACCATTAGCTTCTTTTTCAGGTAAAATATCTCAATATGAAACAGATGTGTCAGACTCTGTAGTATCTTTTATCTCAAGCTCACCAGGATATATCGTATCCACATAAGAATGGAAATTACCGTTGTTAACTGACAGTATATCGTCGATTTACCTAAATGTCGACTTGAAGGCCACATCAAAGGAAATCTTTACAGTTCGATAATTATGAAATGCCTATTGTTGGTATGTTATGTTATAAATACAGTTGCCGGCGTCAAATTCAAGGTTACTACATTCGTATTACATATGATTCCTGTGCGAGCTAAGTTCACAGTCAGATGTTTTTTCTTTAAAATCAAAGCATAAAGATTTTCAATCAAGATTATGCATCTGGATATTTGTTACAATGTTTTAGACATACAAAAAGGACTGTTTTAATTCATCAGCTTAAAACAATGGCAGTGAATGAGGAAAGAATTCTATACATTAGTATATAAAAAAGGAGTTCGGTCCTAGTGTTCAGGAAGAAGTCTTTTTCAAAATGCGTCGTTTTCCTGGATGTGTGGCATTGATTTTCCTATTCTTTGGATTTATTTCTCTTTACCACATGTATGAAAGAATTTTAGGTATTTATTATCGTTTATTATTTTTCCCTCAGGTTTTTGGAACCTCCATCTTTAGTTTATTTTTAAATGACTAAATGAAATATATTGAGATAAATTATGACTCATTATATTCTGCTCCTAAAACGGTAAAATCGGGTCATTTTATCTAAAATCAATACACCAAACGGCATGTCTATAGTCATTTCTTTTTTAAATATAGGGCAAAGAAGTCCCGAAGTTTCAAAAGCCTAATTGTCACATTGCACGAAGACCAAAGTTTGGAAAGAAAAGGACTGCTTTCAATTTGAAACGAATGGGCCACACAATTTTATTTTTAAGGAGGGGGGCACAACCGGTCAAAATGTCTTTGAAACACCCAGATAGAATTATAAGGGTGTTATGAAAGATTGATGGGGTACACATTGGAAACATTTGTATAAATGATAAGAATAATAATGTGAGGGATATATCGTCAAAACTATTAAGGAGGGTCCTGTTTTGATATTTAATACTTTTACTTAAAATACTGAAAAATGTTATGTGTTGTATATAGATGTATATTTGTAAAGCAGCTCATTGTCTTGACAGTACACAGTTAACATACCTATTGCCTTTTCTATGCCTATTTTGGATTTGTTTATTTAACCCTTTCCTTTTGTTGTTTTTAAATCTAGTAGAGAGGTGTCCTTCCCTCTCTATCGTTCTTCTGTAAATTAATGAATAACATTTTGTTGTCTTTTAACATTTTAAATAAAAAGAATTTCTTTGGTTTTATTCCAGATTTAAGATATGCTACTAATGGTTTTCATTTTTGTTACATTTTTGCAAAAAACAGTGACAATTAAGACATTTGGGAGAGATAATTCAAAGAAATGAAAATATGCATATGCATTAATTTTTTGAAATAAGACATGTTTCTTGTCTCGGTAAAGGGATTAAAAAAATTGCTTAATTAATCAAAGCTTGTTTGATATAGGAAATTAAGCTTTAAAGGAACGGCGCATTTAATAAAACTGCAACTATGATTTTTATCATGAGGGATTTTTATGAATTTAAGCTCATTTTTTTTTCGGAAATTTTGAAAAATTGCAATATTTATAATGAAATAGTTTTAATTATTCCATTAAGAACATGCTGCTTATTGTAACAGAAGTAAACAGTTACACTGTTGAGTTAAAAATTAGTACGAATGAAAAGGACATGTCTTGTTTCCATTTAATTCTTTTCACTAATGAACACGGGAATTCTCGATGAATATTACAAAGATACTAGAAAAATCATAGTCCTAGTTCAATACTGACAATAATATACACTTTAGATTTTCCATTTCTTGCTTCAAAAAATGTCAAAAGGTACATATTTAAATGAAAAGCAATAGTCATTCAAAAGATTTAATACATGATACATGATCATATTTTAAGAAGGGCAATATCATTTATATCTAAGGGCGTGTACTCCATAAGAATATTTTCTTAAATAACATTATATAACTTAGCATATCATTATATTTTGCCAACATTCATTTGTAATTTTAACCTTTACTTTCAGAAAAGGGATTATTCTCTGTCTTTGAAAAGATGCAAATGGACAGCTTACAATGTTTATCGAATAAAAACCGTATTCATTTACATGCACCAGGTTTGTATTTTCAGCTTTTTTTTTATCTTTAAGGAAGCTCTAAACACTAATAAAAAGTTGGTTTTTTGGACTTGGAGAAAAACATATCATACAAAGGTGTGCATTTTGTTTTAGTTAAGTTCCAGTGTAGGGTACCTGCTTTATTTACGCAGGAAAATTTTTCAAGGACAATAGACTATTCATGAGCAGAAATCATTGTTTTCTACTTACATAGGGAAAATAATTGAAAAAAATGAATTCATTTACTTCTTCTTGGTCTAATATAATGCTAAGAATATTCTGATCTATTACAAATTTTGTAACGAACTGTAAATAACCATTTTTTCTAATCTTACTTCCAAGGGTAATTTACTCTAACTGCCTAAAATTACTCTTTAAATAGAACTCTTTAGCGTGCAGTGTTTAGCGCTTTCCTAAAAACTCACGGTAACAAGAGAAAAACCGAATAAAATAATGCTTGTGTGTTCTTATCACCATTAGAGTTTTATAAAGCCCCGGATAAAACATCTTTACGACTGGTCGTTGCCTATATGAGAGGGGGATCAACTCTGTTAGCTGACATTGTTCGTCACACAGAAGGTGACTTCTATATGTTTGAACCATTGCATGGCATTTCGCAAAATTTGGGAAATACAACGCAATTTCTGAATGGAACTAAAAGGTATATTTCACAAAAATACCGAGTACTTCAAGTATTAGTCCATTACTTCATTATAGAGTTATGCCTGTTTTAAACTACTTTGTATAAACTAAGTATCCTGCTTATTTTATGTTCATTATATTTGCTTTGTTTAATAATGTTTTACATTTTCTGGAATAGTTTACTATTAAATTTATAAAAAGATGAGTGACTAAAGGACATGGAAAATTTGCGTCAAAATAAATATTCAAAACATATTTTTTTAATTTTAGGTATTATCAACATCTAATTTTAAACTTAACGTAATAACATTTCTTTTCTTCTTGTCCTCTATTTTCAGGATAATTTTACGACATGACCTTGACACCTTTTATCCAGAGCTGATTTATCATTGGTTCACCTGTAATTTTGATCAAATTGACTTGTCTGCCTTATCTAACCCATTTATTTCAATACACACACCAGAGCTTCAAGAGTATTTCAACTGCATCATATCTAATTTAAATGAATCCAAAAGTACCATAGATAGCGTGAAAAAGTGTGTTTATTTATTGCATGATAGATGCATGAAAGCACGGTCAAGGACAATAAAAACCATAAGGCTGTCGATGCTTATGGCTGGAAAACTTTTAAAATGGCTTCCGAATCTAAGGATTATTTACTTAGTCCGAGATCCTCGAGGTATTCTCAACTCGCAATTTGAACAACATGTGACAGAGGAGAAAAGGATGTTTACAACTGTCAAAAAGGTATGTAATTCTATCTTTTCAGATCTGTCACACACTAAGGAGTTAAAGTTGTGTCATAAAAGCAGGATAATGAGTATTATTTATGAAAACCTATGTCAATACCCGTTCAAAGTTGTGCCAAAAATATACAGATTTTTAAACATAGAGTTCACAAATATGACAGAAATTTATATCAAAAGGATGATGAACGGACCAATAAAGAAATGCCACTACTGCACGGATCGGGGAAATGCCCTAGGAAATGCTTACAGATGGATTCATGCTATAGAGGAAAAAACCTTGATAATTATTGACCTATATTGCTCATTTCTTTTTCCATCATTGGGATACAAACATTTAAATTACGAAGAATTGAATACAACTTTTGTGTCTTGGATGCCTACTTGATAAAAGATCCCATTGAATTTATACTACTAGGGAAATTGAGTATGACATGAAACATGTTTTTCTTTTAAATGTAGTTCCCCTGCTTGTTTGAGTATTGTAAATATTTCCTTATAAACTGTTAAATGATCATGTAAATATTTTTAAGGTACTCTGATCCGCAGGGTCTGAAAATCAGGTATTAACCAATTGAAAATGCTCACAAAAATGTCTGAAATCTCCGAATTACATGTTTTTACCCAAGATATTTTTTTTTTCAAATTACTTCTCTAAAGTTAATCATATTTTATAGAGAAAATTAGTTAATCTAAAATAAATTTTCAGGAAATTCAATTAAAAACACTTACTATGTATTCAAATTTGATAAGCAAAAAGATTTTAGTAATAGAAGTCATAGGCATCCAGGCTTTTGAAGCAATTGCTCAATTTTTATACATAAAAGGTACTTTAGTTTTTTCAATTTACTTCGGTCATTTTACAATGCAAAGTGTATATACAATTTTTATGCATTAAAGGTACTTAAGTTTCTTCTATAAACTTCGATCAATTTACAAAGAACATCGTATAAAGATTTTCCTGTCATTTAAACGCAATAAATCATTTCTAACTTCATGTCATGTTTATAAACATTGGTATGTACGGTTAGATTTAAAGAATTTTAAAATACTTTTATGGGTTAAAAATTAGACCTATCTGAGAACTTCAAAGAACCTTGAAGTACGTTTAGGGGTATAAATTGTTGCATGAAAAGATTTAATTTTTTAGCATCATTTTAAGATATTTTGAATTAAATTATTAATTAATGAGTTATCCTTTCTGGCTGAGGATCAGAGTACCTTGAATAGAGATTTTGTCAATATCAAGAGAAAATCAAGTTTTGAGAGAAATCAAATTCATTCTTGTTTTTTAAAACTTATTTGTCAAGGATATTTTTCAAACTACAATTGATGGTCGTTAAGAAGCCTTGATTTTGAAATATTTTATGTCTGAATTTATTTAATGCTTACAGGATCGCGTCAGAAGTCTCTCCTCTTTAAAAATATTTTTTTAAAAACCGTATCAATATTAATAAAAATTATAGTTTGTTTATCAATCCACTTTCATTGGAAGTAGATGATTAAAATGAGAAAATTGACACTCAAACTGAGTAGTTTGACCAATACAGCAGTTAATGTTTGTTGTGAGAAGTTAAGAAAAGCGATTGATGGACAAATTGCTGGTCCCAGTTTTGTTCCACGCTTTCACTGAAAGTGGGGGATATTAATTTTGGTCCGTCCGTCCTGTCCATCCGTCCGCCCGTCTTTCTGTCTGTCTGTAACACTTTCGTTTTTCATATGATATCTCGAGAACCCTTTGAGCTTTTGCAATGAAATTTTTAATAGCAACTCCCTATGGCCCAAAGAAGAAATCTATTGATTTTGAGGTAAAAAAGTCAAAGGTCAAGGTAATAAATTTATGAATTCTGTCTGTCATAGCATTTTTGTTTCCGCGCAATATCTCAAGAACACTTTGAGCTTTTGCAATGAAAATTTTCATAACAATTTCCTGTGGCCTAACAAAGACCCTTATTGATTTTGAGGTCAATAGGTCAAAGTTCAAGGTAAAAAATTTATACGGTCTGTCTTTGTGTAATACTATCGTTTCCGGGCGATATTTTAAGAAGATTTTGAGCTTTAGCAATGAAATTTTACACCAAAACTCCCTTGGGCCTCTCTCGGCCCTTTCTAAGTGTCCTGTCCCGTTTGTGTTATTAGTATTTATTGTGTTAAATGTCGCTTGGCACCATTTTTAGCACAGGGGCACGTGGATAGCTATTACGTATAATACAGGTTGTCGGTAGACTTTTTATTCTTATTACATCTATTAGAACTGTTTAATAAAGCCTAAATTAGACACCATGCATTCATTGTGTAAAATTCTGACAAAATCAAACGTGAATATATTGTAACGGGACTGTCTAGGGGTTAGTCCCGTACATAAGTCCGAGTTCAGAAGGATAAAAGAATAACAAGAATTTCAGTGTTTAAAGAATCAGATTCTATATTCTGTTGCAATATTAACAATTTAACACAAACGTAAAAGATATGAAACAATATCATATAAAATCCAAGAATGCGATAATTACCATCGTAGAAATTTAGCCCCAGTCCCCAAAATGCGTCTGATCGATAATTAATAATAATGTAGACTGCTCTTCATATAATAATAGTAAATCCCGGCCGGGTACTATAGACCCGGGCACGCCCAATTAACCCGGACGGGTTATAAACAATGGGGGATAATTCTAAACAACAAGTAATGATAAATAGAGGGAAAATGTGAATAAAATATGTCACATATACATAAATACACTGTAATTACATACACATACAATTAAATACATGTAAAAACCACCACAATATGTTACATGTATGTGACATAATAATATTTGCATATAATTTCCTACGGAATAAAGTGGCTCCATGGTGAAGTGGTATGTCTCTCGCTTAACATGTAAGAGTTTCCGGGATCGAATCCCGAATTTTTTTGGTTGAAATACTTTTTTTAATAAATGATAATATTCAGCACATGAAATGAAAAAGTTATGACGTCTGGCATGTACAAACTCATAAAATCATTATTACAGTGTGATAGATATTCTATATTTAAAAAATCCTCTATACACCTATAAAAGAATAACAATCAAATCTTCATATCCATACCGGCATTTTTTATTTGCCTCAATATACATGTATACATTTGATAATTTAACAAATTCAGTCAGGGGGATCCGACCTATGTTTGCTCTTGTCTTTTTAGTTCGTCTCCATCAAAGCTGTCTATCATTATCTATCGGAATATACAGTCAAGTCAACCTCAAACCCTTTCAGCTAGAGATAAACTTCTTCTCCATACTTTCGTTTAAGTTTTTTCATCGTTAACATCTGTTTTCCCCATGTACATGTACAGGAGTCATATCCCGCCCAACATATAGTATTGCCTGATAATTTTGTGCTCGACATTAAAACCCAACGTCACAATTTTTGACAATGTTTTCATTTAAGTGGCCCCGTGGGGATCCGGGTTAGAATAGGTCCTCAGTACCACCTTGCTTGTCGTAAAAGGCGACAAAATGGGGCGGCCCTTCGGATGAGACCGTATAAACCGAGGCCCCGTGTCACAGCAGGTGTGGCACGATAAAGATCCCTCCCATTTAAAGGCCGTAATTTTGTTTTCGAGCATAGGCCAAAATTTGTAGCCTTTCACCGGCAATGGTGACGTCTCCATATCAGTAAAATATTCTGGAGAGGGACGTTAAGCAGTATACAATCAATCAATCATTTAAGTGCTTTGACACATACCTTCATATATTGGCCATTAATGATGTTAAATACTTGAATTTTTATGTACTAGTACATAAAGGTATCAGGTATTTATGTAGGTAAATTTTGTGACATTATATTTCCGTAAATTCTGCTAATAAAGCAAACTTCATTGGCAATGCCATTTGTAAAAATCGGTCGACCGCCGATATTTAACACCCTTTAAATTCTGTTTTTCATAGCATATGACATCACAGTCCTACTATATTTTGTAAAAATAACAAAAAGATCATTATCCAACAGTATAAAAAAATTAGTTTTGCTTGAATGGTATATGAAATATTCGAAAAGTTCGCGTTTTTCTCAGACCCTCGTGTATAAAATGTTGGCCCATGCTTCGATTCTTCAGATACCATTTAAACCTAATTTTGTTTTCTGGTCATTTGACATACATAATTGTAATCTTTAACACCAAGATGCATAGACTTCTTGTTTTAAATGAAGTAATTTAAAAAAAGGACTGTAACCTTTGGATGATGTTAAGATTTTCGTACCGGAGAATGTTTTGTGTAAATTTTTTGAAATGCAGTTTTCTAATTGCTGGATGCTTGCTTGTTTACATTCTGTATGATATCTTGAGAGGTAAAAAAAAATCTTATCACTAAACCTCCTCTTAATAGATGGGATATTTCACGTTTTCAATCAATACATGTTTATTTTCAGAGCTACATGTAGTTTATTTTTCTTTAATTCGAACTCTTGCCTTGACTGTATCTTCATCTTATTTACTGTCTTAAATTTTAAATGATGATGATAATATTATTTTGAACTATGATACTGGAAGTGAAATTCATTTTTGAAAGTAAAATGTCAACTTTAAAATAGTTAATAAGTGTTTGAAGCAGGCATGAATAAATTCTGTAGGGTTCGTATTTCTGTGCTGTAAACGTACATAATAAGCAATTTCGATTGAGCCAACTTAACTATCCACTGATAGACAAGAACTTATGAATCGCGCATATGGAAATACGTTTCTAAACGTATTCTAGTCATAATTAAGCGTGCATTTAAAAAAGCAAACAGGGAGTAGCAAGTAGGCACTACAATAACAATTACGGTTGAAATAAACACATTTACAGTGGGTTTTTTGGGGGGGAGGGGGAAGTAATAATTTAGACCACGGTGAATTCTATAAAAGGGGTTTACAATAGAAATCCCTTCAGAGACAAAATGAAATGCTTGATGTGTTATGAAGAAGTGTAATCATTTTCTTTAACTAAAATTAATGTTTTTTTTTTTTTTTGGAAATCTCGCAGTCTATATTATTATGTAATAAGTAATTGGTATAAATTTTGTATCTCTTTTTTTAATTAGAATAATACGAAGGAACAAAAATGCTGTCAAAACATACTCAGGATTTTAGCAATTACAGTAAATCATTTATCGTGGGGTTAAAGTAAATAAAACATAATCAGTTCCTAAATGTAAAAGTTTTTTGTTATGCTAGAAATAATTTGTATTTATAAATTATATTTCATTTCAGTTCCAAGATTTATGTAAAATTATTCACTTATCAGTTATCTATTATCGTAAATGAAGATGTGAAGATGTTTTACAATGTATATGTTTAACATGTTGTGGTAAAAAATCAAGGTAAATAAAACACTAAAGAAAAAAATTAGTGGATTCGCAGTTCCTAAACGTAAAAGGTTGATCACTTTCTATCTCAATTCAACTTTCTAAATTGAGAAAAATCAAGTTATTATGACAAATATTTTGAAATAGTATCAATCATCAATGTTTCAATTTCTTCCTCTAAAATTTGTTAAAACACTATCAAAGGTTTTTCTAATGCTAATTATTTGTATTTATAAATTATATTTCATTTCATTTTCATTTCAGGTGTTATTTTTGCATATATCTGTCAAAATTAAATAGTTTTTATTGTAATTTTACACCTGACCTTGTGTACACATAATTCCTGCTTTTTTTATCACATTGTGAAGCATATGGTAATATTTACTGCGTACATGCCGCTCGAAAGATTACAAATAAAGACAAATGTTTATTTATTTCAAGGGTCTTGATGTAACGATGTTAGTAGCAATTTGAAAGGCTAGAATTCGGAGTTGAAATAACCTTGTTTACTAATCATCAGTCAATAAGGTCTGAAACAATATTAGAATAGGACTATTAAAAAATTGTCAGAGTTTTTAAATTCTGTGTTATCACTTTATACAACCTATTATGGTGACTGAGCAATGTCAATATTCTTTACAAATAGCAGTGTGCAAGACAGATGACACATTGATTACACATTGATTGAAAATTAACAGATTGTAACTCTATCACGGTGGGTTATAGTAAAACTAATTTTTTTCTGAGGAAAGATTTTCTAGATATGTCAAAAAACTAGTTCTCGGTTTTATCTAAATACGACATAATTTGCATTTTGCTCGAATGAATTTATGATATGAATTTCTTATCATGAATCACTCAAATACTAGCTGTAGGGACGATTAATTTTAAAAGACAAAAAAGGCTTTTCAATGTTTTCAATAAGGCTTATGTGTACTTTTAATATGATATGTCTAAGAAAACTACAAAATCATAGTTTTAAAGCCATTAATTAATTTATAATGTGCATGCTATAATGTGAAACTGAAATATTATTTTCAGTATTATAGCATCCATGTAGAAATAAAAGTTTTTATTGAAAAAGAAAATTCAAAATCTTGTTACATGGAGGCAT